AATAATAATAATAATAATAATAATAATAATAATAATAATAATAATAATAATAATAATAATAATAATAATAATAAATTAATTTAAAATTTATTATTTTATTAATATTTAAAAAATATATATTTAATTATAAATTATAAATAAATTATAAATTTAATATAAAAAGAAAATTTTAATTTTTTATTATATTTTATTGAGTAATTAATTTTATCTCATTTTTTCTGTTTAAATCTTTAATATATTACTAAAAAATATTAATATAATAATAATAATTGAAAATTTCTATTTATCATAAATTATAGAAAATTTACGTCGATCTTGATTGGTCCTGGTGTGACGTAGTTATACTTTGACTTCGTTATGACGTCAATATGATTAGAAAATTTATATCTAATCACGTGACGAGTCAATCACATGACTTTCATACTAAATATAGCTGATTAGTCCCTTCACTTTTTAAAATTCAGGCATAACCAGATCAATTTTAATCTTTCCTAAAAACACGACGACTACGATCTCGAGAATATTCAACGAGACAATATTCATCGAGATAATCATTTTTTGATCGATTTCTATGACGAAGGAATAATTCAAGAGCGAGAGCTGTCAATTAATACCATCCTTCTTGATGATGTCATTACGATGGACTCCCATCCTTAGCGACGACGTGAATTGAATTCTGACCAATAGTACGCGTTTTTCTACGTCGAAAAGACAAAGATAACACGATATCCGAAGGAAAAAAGCGTAGTAATGTTCAACATGTAAATGGGATAGTTCTGGGGGTCTTATTATTAATGAGGCTTCTCAACGAACAACAATAATTTAATCAGAGCAGTTTGCTTTTGTGTGTGTTGTTGTTGTTTCATATTTCCCTATGATAATTGTATTGTACTTGCATTACTATTGGTTCAAACGGGCAATAGCGTTTTTCACATATACCAACGATTTCCTTTTTTTTTGCGGTTTTGGTTTGTGATGAATGATGATTTATTTGGGTGATTATTTAATTAGTTATTTTTTTATTTGAGAAATTTACCTATAAATTGAGCCTGTATTTTTGCAAAACTCCAGTTTTCTCTTTTTTCTTTTTCTTTCCCATTTATTGTTCATTACACATTTACAAATTAATAAGAATAAACAAACACCACCACCAACTATTTTTAAAATATTTTTTTTTTGTCTTTACTCTTTTAAACCATACTTTATACTAGTCTTTAGGCATGGCACGTACCAAGGTAAATATTAAAAAAGTTTGCCCGACTTTAGAGAGAGAAACCATTTAGTTCATTGGCAGCCCAACTCGAGTGTAACAAAAAGAAAAGAAGGTAGTCATCCGTTAATTGACGCACAAGTCTTATTATTACCCGCACAAATAGCAAACCGCACGTAAAAGCACTGGTGGCAAAGCTCCCAGAAAACAACTCGCAACAAAAGCTGCTCGTAAGTCTGCACCAGCTACCGGAGGTGTAAAGAAACCGCATCGCTACAGACCTGGTACTGTCGCATTGCGTGAAATCCGTCGTTATCAAAAGAGTACCGAACTTTTGATCCGCAAGTTGCCTTTCCAACGTCTTGTACGTGAAATCGCGCAAGACTTTAAAACGGACTTGCGCTTCCAGTCGAGTGCTATTGGTGCTTTACAAGAAGTAAGCATGGGTTTTCTTACCTTTCTTGACGATGGATGACGATCATCATCATCTCCATCCATCAATCAATTCCCACCCCCATTCAAAGACTTTAATACTGCGCCAAGGATAAACACCTCTTCGAATTTTTTTTTGATTTTTGAAATTTTTTCAAGCATGAATTCTAATTAATCCTACCGCATCTATCGTGTGGCATTCTTAGGCTGCAGAGGCTTACTTGGTCTCCTTGTTTGAAGATACTAATCTCGCGGCTATTCATGGTAAGCCACTTTCTTCTTTACTTATTGTATCCGAGTGTGTGAATGTGTGAAAGTGATTGACATACATTACTATGAGAACAATAACATCAATAATAATGCGCGAAGCAAGAATCTCTTTTTTACTTTTGTGATGTTGATCGCCGATGTATAAGTTGGATGATTGACACACATTTACACATTCGGTTATTTTACCAAACTTTCTTTGCCAAATTAATAATCATCGTCATTAATTTTTCCTTGATGTTAAAATAATATAGCAAAACGAGTCACCATCCAGCCAAAAGATATTCAACTTGCTCGTCGTCTTCGTGGCGAACGTTCTTAACTTTGATATTCAACAAGCCCAACTCTTACTCTCTATCATAAGCAAATAGCAACTAACAAATAGCTTCTGTCAAATGCAAGTAATAATTAGCGAGAAAAATTTTCACCAATCCTCTTTATTATGTAGTAAATTCTCTTATGTGTTTAAATATATACGAATGTAACTACTCCTTTAATTATTATTATTATTTTTATTATTATTATTATTATTATCACCACATGAAAACCGATAATTTTCTATGACAACCATTATTTTTCCTTCCTTTTTTTACGCATTAACGTTAATTGTAATCATATTAGCAGTAATAGTAGTGTGTGGTAAATTACAAGAAATAATAACAAACTAATGCTTTTCTAATAGCTATAATAAATGTTTTGCTGGTCTGGTATTCTTTATTGACAAGAAATTACTGCGCCGGTAAAATATATCTATATATATAAAAAACACCACGCAGAAAAGAAGGCATGTATAGCGAATGTATTATTTCGTGTTGTGAGAGTGTTTTTTAATTTTGTATTTAATATTTGCGATAAATTAATAATTTATTGCTTTCCTTTCGTTTGTGTCTCGCTATAATGACCATTAACCAATATTGGCATCATGTCGTAATTAACTTTGTTCCATCTCACGCTCCGATTATTACCTTTGCTCGGCTCATTCTTGTGGCACTTCGAAATGTTCGGAATGATGAATGAATGAACGCAAGATTTGCATTTGTCAAACGAAGGAGTTCCGAAGTGAGAAATTAATTAAAATTTAGTGTGTGTAATTAATTGCCATTTAATTGAATAGACGACGACGACGATAATATTTTTAGTAGTTGGGTTGAACAAGAGAATGCCCAAATTCACGATCTTTTTTTCCAAATCTTAAATGCTAGTTGGTAGTTACGATTCCTAAAATAATTTTACCTTTTTTTGGAGGTTCTATCGCTCAGGTTTAATTAGCTTATCGTTTCTTTATCATGTTCACTATCGCCCAAGTTAACAACAACAACAACTGATTGTTATCGTACACATTTACGGCAACAATATAATACAACAAAGAATCAACAACAGCTTTATCATGTTGGTAATTTTTCAATTTGATTGGCTAACGATACGGGGGAAAACTTGCTTTTGTTCGTTCTTTCGCATATTTGTCGTAGTCGTCGTCTTTACTATTTTTTCAATAAAAAGTTTGCAAAGGTGTCACGAGAATGTGACGTTCGCATAAGAAATATGCAATATTGTAAGCCTGCGCACACGTCGTACATATATGTGCTATGTGCATGTGTTGATATTTTCTATCGGTGGTGTTAGGAAAATTTGACTGGGCAAAAAGCTTTGATTGATGATGGAGCGAGGGAAAGGAAGAGAAATTCCCTTTCTCTTCTGATTAGATTTTGAAGATGCACAACCCGAATAATGCCAATGGCCATTTCTCCAAATCACAAATGATTGAATTGATGTCATCATTTATGAGGAAAATATCATACTAATTGAGAGTGGTGTGGTTAGCTGGGGTTGCTCATCATAATCATCTGTACCTAACTAAACCAAACCCATTGTGTTGCCGACCAACGCTTTCTCTTTTACTTCCCCGTTTTATCGTGTCACGCATCCAACCTAAATACCTGATAATACTAGCGTTTTTTCTCACCTTGAACGAGTGCTGTTTGGCTTTACTGTATGTGGTTCTATTATTATTACTATTATTATCAGAGAGGGTTACAATTAAAAAAACTCGACTCACTGAATTTCACCATCTTACTACTTGACATACATAGCCACTCGGTTTTCAGACTACTAACCACGATTTCAGAGACAGGGAGAAATAAAAATAAAAAATAATATTATTCCAATAATACGACAGTCACACACACACCCACAATTGAATTCTGGGCCAAAAAGTACTCCACCCAAAGGATACCAATCCTCCCCGAGAAAGGAGGATAAAAAAATAAACATTTTACACGCCACCGAAACAGAGAGTTAATACCTTTTTCCAATCGCGAGGACAGGAACAGATACCACTGAGCAAAAAGTTTTATCAAATGATGATGCATACGTTGGATTTGGCAAATTTTCCCGTCACAGACACGCTCAAGATGCTGGCTTCGCTACTCGAGAAAATAACCCAGGCAAACGACCAACTAAAGTCACATAACATAAGCAACAGTGGCAGCAGCAGCAGCAGCAACGGCAACGAGCAAGTTAGTAGCTCCACGGCAGTGACACAGTCAACATCACCGTCATTCACGCGTTTCCACGCGCGTTCGGTGCCTTCGATTGACATTTACTCGTACTTGGCTCGAATTTTGAAGTACTGCCCCACAACCAATGAATGCTTCCTGTCGTTGCTAGTGTATTTTGATCGAATGTCAAAGAATGCGTTAGCCACCACAGGCAAGCCCTTCTCAATAGATTCTTTTAACATTCACCGACTAATAATATCCGGTATCATGGTGTCTTCAAAGTTTTTTTCAGACGTATTTTTCACAAATTCAAGATATGCAAAGGTACAGTAGTTATCCATTCACATTTTAATAATAATCATAATATTTCGTAGAAGTGGACGAGAGAGAGAGAGAGGGGAGAGAGAGAGAAAGAGAGATGATGATGATGATGATGCACGCACACACACTATACTCTATTAATGAACTAATTGTAGGGTAATTGTAGATGATGATGACCTATAATTTATCTTTAAGTGCTTGGTGACGATCGAGTGTCTGGATCGAATTTTATTGTGATGCGAGACAGACTGAAAAAAATTGAAGAGTAAATATCCTTCAGCCATTAATTACCATGTCACTATAATTGATAGTTTAACATTCAAAATTGGATCATGGCTCTATGATATTTATTGCTAATGCCAATTGCATTGATGGGAACAAAATTCGCGCATATACTCTTCACGAGAAATCCAACAAAACATATCGTTACCTGTTGTTTCATATGTTACATGGTTTTCTATCACTTCACAACACTGCTATTAATAATAATCATAATCATACTGAGTAATAAATAATATGCTTTAACCAAAATAAATACTAGGTGGGAGGACTACCGGTATCGGAACTGAATCAGCTCGAGCTAGAGTTCCTGGTGTTGAACGAATTTCGTCTGGCAATAAACATAGAAGAGCTGCAACGATATGGAAATCAACTATTGAAGCATTGGGTGCAAGAGGAAGAGATGAAGCAAGGGCCTTTGTATGAGAATGGTTTGCGATTTCCTACAACAAATGGTATTATTACTAGTAATGGTGTTAGTAGGTGGGATTCACAGCATGCGAATACACTTAATAAACGTTCAAGGCGTATAACTTCAACAGATGACACGAATACAAGCAAAGGAGGCGGATCGAAGGCGATGAAAGAAGAAGATGAACAACAGCAGCAACAGATACCAGAAACTCCATATTTCATGCGTGGACATCGTCGAGATAGTAGCATATCGTCGACAAAATCATTGAACATTAATAATGGTCCATCATATCCTTTGCCATCATCGCCACAACCTTTTTCATCTAATCAGCAACAAGGTTCTAATACTCCTCCGGTACGCATAAATTCATATTCTGGAACTTCACCGAATTCTTCGTCTGCAATCTTGACTAATAATTTACCACAACAACAGTCATCATCGTCGTCGTCAGCATCCAATACGATTATCAACGGGTCACCAATGCGTAGCCCATTTCCGTCAGGGGTGATAAATAACCATCACATACATAAACCATACCCACATCATCCGCATCATCAATCTCAACACCAAAGATCCTATAGTATGGGTTCAACGATCAAACGTGCCAATAGCAGTGGTTCGCTGTTAAACATGCAACGTTCACGAAGTAGAGATTTCAGTGATGATTTATTTCATCAACGAAATTCACCAAAGTTGTTGATGAATCCCGAGGATCATGCGTATCGAACTGCAGCTGCTCCTTTTCCATCTGGACCTTCGTCAAATCTTAATGGCTCGTCATCATCGTCCGCGGTCTCGTCCTTGGCGATACCTTCATCCAAATATAATGGTAATGGTATGACTTCTAATGGAAATTCATTGTCAACAACATCTTCTAATCGTAACCTTAGTGTTCTCATGAGACGAATGTCACATGAATATCCTCTTATTAATCCTAATAATAGTAGTATTAAAAATGGCTATCAACAAAATCCTAATTCTTACACTTATAATAACTTGTATCAATCTCCAAATCAATCCCTTCCTAATACCCCTTCAACAAACGTTCCACCTCCCATACCAGGAGTCACATTTAATCCGGCTGCGACAATGGCTGCTGCCGCCCATGCTGCGATGAGTTACGCTCGAAGGGCATCACTAGCTTTACCGCCTTTACCGCGACATCCGATAACCGGATTTCATAACAATTCTATACCATCACCCATATCGCCCGTGCCTCCACCATCCAATGAATCTATGGGTCCCGGAATGATGAGACGCGGCTCAGTACCATCATGGAGTAGTAACAATATTTCAGGTGCTGGTGGTGGAGGTGCCTGTCTACATTCTGATACTAGAAATATTACGCAGAATGGGATAGGAATGACAAATGGCTCAACAACTTTACCAATACCAATGAATTCTTCAGCAATCAATGGTAATGGACGTGTACATATGCACGGCGTTAACGGAATGTCTAATGGTAACAATATGATTCCTGGTAGTGCACCAGATCTGGTAAGACGAAGTAGCTGGGTAATTCTTCCGACTACTCACACACATTCCGTGCCTTACCAGTCTCCGCACTATGGTCAAACTAATGGGCTAAATGGCTATTACCATAATCACCATCATCATCATCGGGAGAATAGTAACCATCAGAATCATCAAATGCCAACTCATGGGCCCATTGTGAGATCTGCATCTTCGGAATCGTGCAATTCATCATCGTCATCGGGTTCAGAATCGTCAGATTCGTTAACTGATCGTGTTTCTGGTACGAGTCCTAATGGAATCAATGTTACCGGCACGAAATCAAATAAAGACACCATTCCCACCAGCACCACCACCATCTCCACCAGCAACAACAATCATAGCACCAACACCAATAGTAGTAATAATACAAAGTCCACCCTTAATGAAACGCACGATGACTAATTTTTTTTTTCTTTTACTGGAAAAGAATTAACGAGGATTAACGATAATTGGATGGGTGGCGGAAGAGAATGGTGGTGCTAGGGAAATTGACTGCTAAATTGGGATGGGTGGGTTTCATTTATTATTTTTTTTTTCGTCATCATCAGCGTTAGTTGTTAACCAGTTATAATAGGAAAGTTGATTCATGATGACGATTATTATTGAGTTGACATTGTAGTTTTATTATCTCTTTTACTTTGCATCATTTTGATTTATTTTTTTTAATTCTATT